TGGGTGGTTGCGGGGGAAGCAGCAATTGCGCGTCCACGATTGACATGGTGCGTCTTGCAGCATTCAACAAAAGCCCTCCTGAGGTGCAGAAATTTTGGGTTCAATACACACAACCCTAGGGATTCAGCAGTAGCCGACACCTTCTGATCAGACAAAGACCGGTCTAGTTTCGTTTTGGTAAGTCCATGGTGGGTCCCTTCTCAAGGTCTGCCACCTTCTTTTAATCAAGGTGACAGTTTTGTGTCATTTTCTAACAAAATACTGAAACATGATGATCTCTACTCTAGTTATTCAATTTTTACAGCAAACACATAGGAGATAATCACTATTGATAACAAAGAATCAATTTTAACGAAAAATTTTATTGTGCCCCGTTATTTCTCATTACATTAAATTAAATTTTTCTTTTTTATACTTTTAACCACACAATTTTTAATAAAATAATATTACACGTAAATCAAAAACTTTTCAACCACTCATTTTTCAAAAAAAAACTATTCATCTCATTATAATCTACAAATAATATGACTCAAACAGCCCCTGAGTACTGTTTGAATTGGATCAAAATTTATAAAATAATTGCAATAAAGAGGCGTTTGGGAGTTTTTTTTTTTTTTTGCTTAATCCTCAACTCTGTTTTAGGAGGGAATCATTTGTCCTTATTTATAGGCTAAAAGATCCCACCATTTGAAAGCCCAACGTTATTTTAACTATAATGTTATAGTAGGAACGTGTGTCATTGTTGATTGAGCATTAAGATCGATAATGCAAGTCATCATGAAGCTTATGTCACACCTATGACATCAGGTAATTATGGTCTTGTTACTCTATTGTAATTGCTTGAAAATTAGGCATTGAAATCATTGCTGCCATGTGTTATTCTAGGAGCGGTGGGAGGTGAGACAACGCAGTGATTATAAATCATCATGTTTATATAAACTAGTGGTGCATCGTGCATTGCACGATGATTTTTATATTTTTGTAAGTTAATTTGTTAAAAAGTCTAGATATTTTAAAACTTCAGAAAAGTGGGTCCCACATGTAAGTTAATTTACAAGTTTTATGAAAAAATAATTGAAAAAAATCTTTTAAAGCATTCTCAATCCTATGCTTTTCTCAGGGTTGGGAGGGAGGGAGACAAAAGAAAAAAAAGCAAATAACTAATATGAAAGTGGGGAGTTCATATGAAATGCAGCCATTATGGCAAAAAGTAGGCAAGAGGTATTTTATAAAAGTACAAGCCTTGAAACTGTTTCCTTGGAATATTTTTAACTAGAAGAATGCCATCCTCCAAATGACGATGATATAAAATTGAAAGAAGTTCAAATGTACGATTTCATTATATATGTTAATTAGAAATACTAAAACCAAATTTCTGCAACAACTTTGTTCAAAATAAATAAAATGTACAAATTGAGTGAATTTGATGTAAAAATAACACAAGCAAATTAGAAATCCAAATCCTAATGGATTTAGCCATGAGATTTCATACATAAGAAAACAAAACAAATGTTCGATAATAAGTAAACATGAAAAGTACAAATGAAAATGTACAATTCATGTAAAGAAGGCATAAAGTCGCAAGCTAAAAATATCTTGAAAATCCATTCAACCATATCTATTAGTACCACCACCATTGGCAACATGCTGCTTAAGTCCCTCTTTACCGTACCTATCATATATGCTTGTGTTCTCACCATCCAATAACACTTCGTATGCTATAAAACAAATCAAAATTGCTTGAAATCATTTTACTCATCACAAATCCTAACTCAATATAAAAATAAAAGTAAGCGTTATGCCCTATATTCAAAAGCTATGAAATTTCTTCATCACTATGATCCAACCATATCTACATCGTATCCACAATCAATGCTGTTAAAAGAGAAAGAATATCTACAAAAAACTCTAGCTGACTATGCCAATGATTTTATATATATAAAAGAATCAACACGAGAACAGTAAAATCTGTCGTATTACAAGTAATGGCCATTTTATTTAATGAGATCTTATTCACATAATGTCAAAATTATGTTGGCTAATCAAATTAAGTGAAATGCATTCACAACGCATTCTGTCAAAACAATTTGCAAAATACGGCTAAGAGTTGTAAAGATCAAATCATTAAGTAAAAATACCCAAAAGAACCCAATTTTTCTTATTGTATAATTAGCTCAAATTTTATACTATAGAGAGGTAAGTTTTGAGGCCATAGAAGTATACAAACATAAACTCCTCCAATTCTGCTAACTTCTATTCGAATTCCAATCCTAATTGCAAAATATCCTTCTATAACATATGTCAACTATTTTTTACTTCAATGAAGTAATAAGTCATCAATATCACCAACTTTTCATTCATCTAACTAAACAAATTCTTCTACTCAAGTTGCACTCATTTTACGTACATTCTAGTCACGGAAATTTTCGGTTCATAAAACCTTACTACCATTCGCTACATGAAAAATTACTAGCATAAGCAGTAGAATTGTACTATAAAGGTAGATTTGATAAAGAATCTACAAAATAACATCTTACATTTCCTAAAGAGGTGTTGACATTACACAGGGAAACAATAGCAAGTAATTTATAAAATGATGACAGTAGGCAGAAATTAAGCGGAAGAAAGAAAAACTAAAAATGCAAAATCTAAAAATGGAAAAGTAAGATGCATACTAAAAACTCATTATCAACCCCAGAGCATAAGAGGAAGCAACATTGAATACAGTTATACTATTCACCAAATCAGTTGAATTTAGAGCACTATGATAGCTTACCGAGCGGGATACCATCTCATGGATTAAATTAATGTCATACCCAATCCGATTAAGATTAGATCTCACTTCGTTTACCTGCATAATATTAGTAACAGTATCAATCAAAGATAATAATTTTGCTTTAATGCAAGTTGTATAGTAACTATTATTTTCGTCTATTGAACTTTCTCACCGAGAAACCCTGAAGTTAGCAAGCAAATGAACATAGATGAACATTATAGGTTTGCAACTCAATCCATGCTCACACTCAATTCATTCTTACTAATGAAAGTCGTCCAACAGACGACAGAGACAAAGTTAATAAGTCTTTTGAATTGTCAAGACTTCTTATTTGCTTTCACTTCAGGGAAACTTGCAAAATATTTAAGAAGTAATGTGAAGACTAAAATCACGTCATGCACAAAGCTTATAAAATGTGTTGAGGTTCAATTGATGCAGTGCATCTAATGATATTTTTCAAACATTTATCTCTTTTTCTCCTTTTTGTTTCTGTATTGTTTTCTTCCAAATATTCTTCAGTTTTTCTCTTGTTGGTATAGGGACGAGGCATCAATTAAATCTCTAAAATATTTCTCTCATTGTAATCAATGCTCAAAGAATCTTAATGATATCTTCATACTGTTAAATATGAATGTGATAGTTTTATTTCATCCAAGCAGAAGTTAATCATTGAATCTGAAGAAACCATAAATGTATGAACTATAGGATCTAAAAAGCAGCTGTAGCATGTGTATTTGCACAAGTAAAATTATCATGGCAAGACAAGATTTGTAATACATCATTTACAATAAGCTTTGATGATTGCCTCTGCTCATCCACCTTCTAATCCAAGTTCTCCAGTCTCTTTGTCAAATGCCTCTTTGTTGACTGTAGGCAAAGTGAAATGAGCACATAATACATATGATTAAAATGAAAGGTGACTGTAAAATTATCAAAATTTATTTATAAACAAAGCGTTATAAACATGCTCTAACTCCTTCCAACAGATGCAAAAGCATTTTCCATATTGTGCTTATTAGCAAACATTACATCAGAAAATGGTCAGCCTCGCGAGGGAGAGAGGGGAAGCAACATATGAGTTATTTTTAAGAAAAAATTGCAGGAAAAAGATAAAGAGAAATAAATCAAAGACAATGGATTAGTAAACCCCATTTTGACATAAAGTGAATTCGTAAAGAGAGAAGTCAAAACTCAAGAATATACAAAAGCAAAGAATCATGTGTAGATATGTGGTATAATAACAACCACCAGCACATTGGTGAATGTCAGAGAGACAGCTTGAGTTGCACAAATTACTAAATTAGTTCAATTATTTTGAGGTAAGAACTTCATAGTAAGAAAGTTCCCATCAAATACAACTATTTGGAAACATTTCTTAACGAAAAGACGGTAAAAGAATTGAACTTTCATAAGCAAAGAATCATGTGTGGAAGAACCAAATCCACGAAATTTCTACGAGTTAAATTTCATTTCCAAAATAAAAAATCTTGCAGATCTGGAACCATACGGTAAAATCAAACCACCTACCATTCATAGCAAAAATCTATATTTACTTACAAAAAGCCTTGTTTCAATAATTATTTCCATTGATCCCTGATGAAAGCTTCAAACCTCTGCAAAAAACAAAAATAGAAGGTCAGAACCTTTAGGATGGCCAGCACCGAAAAGTGATGAAATTACACAACATATAGACAACCGTGGTAAAAAGAAATAGAAGAGAGAAGAAGCCGTGTAAAGTTCAATCTGCAAAGGACACGAGCGAGGATATCACAAGTTTTGCTGACAGTCGTAGTGTAGGGGTTCGATCTCTTAGACATGAAATTGAACTTCTTATAGGTGTAGTGTACAAACAGCTCTAATTTTCTGATCTGTTAGGACGCATTCCGAAATTTACCTCCCTCACAAAATTCTAGGGGCAAGACGATGAGAGCCCTCAAAATTGAGGTTCAATTTATTTATTTATTTTTTTAATAGAAGAGAGAAGAAAAAATGAGAAGCCTTGCATAGTATGGACAGATGTGTGGAGAATGAAGGAAAGAAGCAATGTAGCTTGGAGAAATGAAGAAAGAGAGAGGAGGAATGGATGTGATTGTTGAGTGTGAAGTGTCTGTCCCGAGATAGATGAGTGTTGCATGTAGAAGAAGGAAAATGCCAAAGGAACGTGATAAAGAAAATCAAAATGATGTCGTTTTACGCTGGGAACAAAATAAAAAGGCGTAACGGTCTCGTTTTACACACAAAACAAAGAAAAGAAAATCGGATGAACAGTGGAAAACAGTAAAGTAAATTTTTTTTTACTATTATTATTATTAATATAGGATATAAACACATATATGACATCATCGTGAGATCAGGATGATGCCTTATCAACAGTGACAACCCAGTATTCTCTTTTAAGGCCCCGTTCCCCTCCCCCCTCTTCCCATTAAGCACCTGTTTGAGCCCCATTACATTAAATTCTATTACGTTTCATTTTTATCTCTCCTATTTTCAATCACACAATCTTTTATAAAATAATATTACACGTAAATCGAAAATTTTTCATTCTTTTTCAACTACTCATTTTTCAAAAAAAAATATTATTCCCCCATTAAATTTTCCACGTAATGGGGATCAAATAGGGGCTAAATTACATTCCATTACATTTTATTTTTCTCTCTCCTATTTTCAACCACACAATCTTTCATAAAATAATATTACACGTAAATCGAAAAATTTTCCTTTTTTTTAACTTTTCATTTTTCAAAAAAATATTATTCCTCTCATTTTCATTACCAAAAAATGGGGGTCAAACAAGGGCTAAGATTGTTGGGATTATAGCGTCCATGTATACGATCTGAAATTTTCATGGCATTTGATCTGCAGATTAGTACAGAAACATTATTTTGTGATATTTATTTAACAAAGCGTGAAGTGGGACAGGTTTCGGCTTAACAAAGATGAAATTGGCCAGTTGACACATATGGCAAGCTCACAAATTTAATTAGGATATCAAACTTGTATATGGTTTCTATCCAATTTAAACTTAGAAGATCGTCCGACTAAATTTCAATATGAAATTTCAAATTACATATACTTTGTCACTTCTTTTAGCCCTTGTTTGATCTCCAATATTTATAAAATATATTTTTTTCTGTTCTTTTTAATCACACATTATTTAGCCCCCGTTTATTTCACATTATTTGTCCATTAAAATGAAAAATATAACCGTTAACAATTACATTAAGTCACCATATTTGACTTTCTATCTTTTGTGTAGGGCCCCGTAACGACTATATTTTCATTCTTATTTTTACATTAATGTGTAAGAAATGGGGCCTTAACAAAATAATATTACATGTAAATTTAAATTTTCTTTTTAATTTCTTAACTACAAATTTTTCATCAATCTACTATTTTTTTCATTTGTCATTGTTTCGAAAGAAAATGTATAATCAAGATAGATCTATGAAGGTGGTCCTTAGTAGGACACGTGAACGGTGAGATAAGAGACTAGACGGACAAAGTGATGCTTCTTTTCTGACAATTGGCGTTGGAGGTCCAACACGAGAAAGCGTGTTAATGACATGACTAGAGTCCAAGAAAAAGGCTGTGGGAAAGAGAAATAAGGGTCAGAAAGACCCGACCCGTGCCAGAGCAGCCAGAAAATGGATTCAGAAAAGCCCGCGAAAAAGTCGAGGGGTCTCTGTAAAAGATTAAAAGCCAGACCTTTCTCATCAGTTCTTGTCTTTATACGTGCTTTTACCCTTTTCCTTTTTTTCACCACCCGCATTTCTCGAGCGTAGCTGATTTTTCGTTCCGTTCAAAATGGATGAAAATTTATTTTCACTTGGTAAAAATTAAAAGGGAAAATTGCAGTTGAGGTACTAAACCTTTCGTTTATTAACAAATTTTGCCCAAACGTTTCATTTGTGCCACTGAAGGTACCGAACCTTTCAAAAATTCGCACCCGAAATCCAAATGGATGGAAACCGTCCATTTGACTGTTAGTTGATTGAGAGTAAATTTTGACCTATTTTGACCAAATTGAAATGGGTAAAATGGTAACTTGATAATTACAATATTAAATAAATTGAACAAAAAAAATCCAAAAATCAAGAAAGAATCAAAAAAGTAAGAAAAGAAATTAAAAAATGGTTGTCTTCTTCAACCTCCCCACCCCATCGCACCCCAACCCAGCCCCACCATCTTTGTCCCCAATTGCGTGGATCTACAGCTTCTTCTAGCAAAATTACAAACATTTTTTCACAGATTTCACCATCTTTTTAGGCTTCTTCTTCCTCTTCTTTTATTGGTTTAAATAGTGTTGATTTTTTTCTACACTCTCCCAGAATCTGGTTTCTGGCACCATTTCGTGGCCAATGCTCCCATGGTACCTGCAACTATTGAATTTCCTATTTCAAACAAGACCAAATTAACTACTTATCAAGAATTTGATAGGTTTAATGGATATCCAAAGAAACAAACAGTTAAAAATGATAGGTATAGCAAAATAATTACAGCTTAAGGTCCAAGGGATCGAAGAATGAGGCTTTCCATTGGTACTACACGTAAGTTCTTTGATCTTCAAGAAATGCTAGGTTTTGACAAACCAAGCAAAACCCTTGATTGGCTTCTTGCGAATTCGAAAATATGGTGGGGTGGGGTGGGGTGGGGTGGGGTGCGGAGGTTGAAGAAGACAGCCCTTTTTTAATTTCTTTTCTTAATTTTTTTATTTTTTCTTGATTTTTTGATTTTTTTTGTTCAATTTATTTAATATTGTAATATCAAGTTACCATTTTACCCAATTCAATTTGGTCAAAATTTACTTTTCTTGGTCAACTATCGGTCCCATCCATTTGGACTTCGGGTGCTGAGTTTTGAAAGGTTTGGTACCTTCAGTGACACAAATGAAAGATTTGGGCAAAATCTGCTAATAAACGAAAGATTTGGTACCTCGACTGCAATTTTCCCAAATTAAAATGGCAAGACATCCTTAGCTCGTTAGATCTCCCAATAAGGCCAAGTGATTATATAAACACCAAATCCCGCTATATAATATAATATTTTGCAAACATTAAGAAAGTAATACTTTATCTGATAGCATCGAACATTGATCTAAAAGGTAAAAAACCCTTTCAAAAGATTTTTGAGTGGAACGGGCGCCTTGTCTTGCTCAAAAACTTTCTTTATTCTCATTTGAGATACTCTCTCACTACGAGGTTTACACATTGGGCCAAAGGCTTTATATAGTCATATTTCGAGTAAGTGTTTACATAATCTTCTTATGTCTGAAAAAATGATTAACCGATATAAAGCTATATGATTAGGGATGTCAAATAAGTCAAGCAGTTCGATCTCATCAAATGACGAGTTCAAGCTGAGTAAGGGACTCAATCCCACGAGCTGAGTCTACTCGGCTTGTCGAGCCCACGAGTGACTAGTCAAAAGATATGCAAATTTACCAAAAAAAAAATGAAAAATGTGCAAATTTACCGAAAAATAATAATAATAAAATAAGACCTCGCGAGCAGCTTGTGGGCTCTGCTCGGCCGACCCGACCCGCGAGTTCGTGGGGCGAGCTCGAGCTTGGCTCGTCTTCCACGAGCCACAAGCCCGAGCCGCCCATTGCCATCCTATATATGATAGCACCCAATTTTTTCAATTCGACGCTTTGAACTAGCCATACGCTTTACGTGTTTCTAGCTATTCACATAGCATTATCAAATTATACAAATTTTGGATAAGAATCTATAACACACTAGAATAGTATTGGATTAAATGACAAAGACATTGTTAAGAAAAAAATGGCTTTTCGGATGAAATGAAAATTGGATTCATGTAATAGGAGAAAGATTTCCCATTAGTTGACCGTTCATCCATCTAGTGCCTTTCGATTGGAGTTTCCCGAGGGGTTAGATCACTTCGAATTGATCTTGTAAAAGATCATCTGCTATAGAATGAATACTTATATTTTTCAACGATTCATATTGTTATATGTACCCATTCCAAATTTTAGTTCAATCAAATGATCAACGGTTGCCAATATGTCACGTGGTAATAGAAATATATTGTTCGATATCATAAGAAGATTCAGTCTTCGGTTCATATTTCATCAACCAATCAATCCTAATTCACATCTTTGTTTAAAGAACTTATCTTGCAATTCCTCACATAAGGCAGTACACTTGGAACTATAAAAGCTAACCTTCACGTTTCGACCATTAACGGAAATACAAACGTGTTGAAGAAATGTTCATGGCCAACTTATGCTCCGAATGAACAATAAATGAAAAGTAACATAATTTTATGTGACTAACCACTAAACTTCATTCGCATGCAAGGAAGATAATCCTTTTATTTAAGATAGAAGGAGAATAGAAAAGAATCTAAAATTTTCGAGTCTATGCTTAAAAAAAAAGGCTCATAAACTTAAATCGAGGCATGACTAAAGACACTCAAAAGCTAAGAAGAGATAACATGCAGTTAAAAACTAGACTAAAATGAAAAGAAAGACTAACAAAAGTTATAGAATAAACTTTACTAGTGAATGTGAAGGATAATTCATGGTTCTCAATGTTGTGGTCTTAAAGTACAGATTTAACCATTATGAAGATACCATTCTCCAAATGGCATTATTTAATTGAGCATTGACGACATAAAATAAAAAATAAAATCAACCACATGGGTGCTACCAGCACAACACCCATACATCTCCTAAACAAGGAGAATAACCCTTCTCCATTTGCATCTTTGATATAGATTTTTCGAGAATATATTTTATGAAAAATGATATTTTTTGAGAATGTGTGGTTAAAAATTTGAAAAAACAAAATTATGGATTCACGTGTAATAGAAGTAATTTACTTCATGCACATAACGCGTCTTTTGCATATTAAAAAAAATATATATATATTTAGTTTATATATTGGAGATGAAATGATGTTTAGTCAAAACTATTTTAATTTTGGAAAGAAATTTCACATTTTTTTTTTTTTTTATCAAACTATAGTCCTTTTTACTTTTGACAGTAAAATATATTTTGAACTTCTGTTTAATCTTGCATACATTACTACACACTT